ATGGAGGTGTAAATTAGGCTAAAATCTAATTTGATATAATATCGAAGTCAAACCTAATGTGTACCCCATAAAATTGAACAATTGCAAAAGGTGAAAATTATCACCCAATCCATGAATGTACACGCACTACATCGGACAATAGAACACCGGATAAAGAATATGTAGAGATTCGAGCATGATGGGCATTCATGAATGTGTACATATCAAATCGAATAGTGAAATTTCAAATAAAAAATATGTACTGCCCCGAGCATGAAAATGGGAAGGGTTATAATAAATGTACTCCTTATAAGTTACACTATAAAACTTGAACAATCCTTTTAAGGATAAATTACCTATATACACATCTTTATTTTTCATAATTTTCATCATTCCCTACTATTTCAAAATATTTCCAAAATTCCTTATTTTTTCCAAATTTTCAAGTCAACCGGATACATAAGTATCCCATCCTTAACACATGATTTCCTTTTTTTTTTCACTCCTTTATTCTCTCCATAATTTACTCTACAATCTTATCAGTTACAATTTTCATATCAATTTGATTTTAAAAAGAATTCTCTACAATCTTATCCGTTAGAATTTTCATATCAATTTTATTCTCAAAAGTATTCTCTCTCCGGTCAATCAAATTCAAACCACTCAATTGATATACTGTGTCTCCTCCACAGTCGTCTTCTTCAATTTTATTTTTTTTCTTCTTTATTTCCTGATGCATATGGATCAGGATCGTTCTTTTAGTGTTGGTATTACTCAACTAGTCGAAGAAGGATGCATCTTCGCCTTCTAAATAGACTGTGAAAAAAACGCTCAAAAAGACGAAAAAGGTCGATCTACTGGTGGCTTTTGTAAGGACTTTGGATCGAGATTCATGAGTGACGTCTATGTTAATAGTAAAAAAAAAATTACAAGAGTGAATGTTGAGAAGGAGAATGAGAATGAGAAGAAGGATGTACCTTCGTTTTCTAAAGTAAATGTAGAAAAAAGTGGATGTACATTTGTCTTCTAAAGTGATTGTTGAGAAAGAGAAGTCGAAATAGATTAGATTGTTGATTTTTTTTTCCCGATTTTTTGTTGTTCATCTTTTTTATGATACATAGGGTTCAGATCTTTTAATGTATCTAGTTGATTTTGATTCTTAAATTAATGTATAATTCATTTGTTTCACCTTTATGATACATTACAATTTAATCATGTACAATATATTATTTTCAAATATTAGTTGTGATACATAACCCTAATTTATTGAAACACAAATTACTATGTATCATGTTCATAGTTATGTATTGGATACACAAATATTACAAAATTCGTTATCTTTTAACTACCGACACGTACACCCTGCCTTGTTTAACTAGTAGAAGGCTATGTATCGGTAGACACTATCAAATATTACTATTGATACTTGTATCATATTCATAGTTATGTATATGATACATAACTTTGTTATGTGTATAACATAGTTATGTATCATGATGTTGTGATGTATCGCATGTTGTTAAGTGTCTGCAACACTGTTTTATCATATTTATAGTTTTTTTTTTGTATATGATACATAATTATATAAAATTGTCGATTTTTTTTTAATCTGTTATAATTTGGGAGAGAATTTGAGAGAAGAAAATTTGAAATTTAATTGTTTGGAGCTGTTATTTGGGAGAGATTGACATCAATTTGATTTGCATGATTTGGGGAACTGACATTTAATTTTATATTTAATTTCCTTTTTAATCTCAACAAAGTAGTTGTATAATGTATCCGAATGACTGATATTTGAAAGAATTTTTTATAAAATAGAAAAGAGTAGGGATAGAATGTAATTTAGGTCTTATGACATTATGTAAGTTGTACTTTTTTTAATGTATGTTAGATCAAAGACCTAATAATTTCACAATGTGCCTTCTATATTTTTTCCAATCAACTATAATGCGCTATTGTGTGTCCATGGAGTATTTACTCCTTTTGTTGGTTGTTTCCATTTATAATACTAAGAATTGAAAGTGAATGCACACATTTTAAAAAAAAAATAGAAATAAACATTATATATTTTACACTAAAACTCAACATACTTGATAAATTAAAATATTTAATAAAAGTTATTGATAGTTTAAAAAAAGTAGAGTATATAATTTCTCAGATAGTAAAAGATAGACTTATTGTCTTTAAAAGACAAAATAATATTTCTTAAAATTCCACCTAATTGGTATTTTAAATGACCACTTGAGAAACTATAATGCAGCATATAATTAATTACAAGCTCATCTACAGTGTAATTTTTATTTATTGTTTTAATTTTTTTAAATAGAAGTAGCAATTCTAGAAATTAGTAAGGCGTAATTATTATTATTAATAATTTGTCATGTGATTTGATGTTTCTCCCCAATGAAAAAATGAGAAAGAAGGTTATAAGATTTAAAAGAAGTATGAAAGTGACTTGTAATAAATACTTAGAAGAAAAATTCAAATAAATTAATAAAAAGATGTGTTGCCAAAATTTAGTAACGTAATACTCCTATATTGTTGATTGTGGCATATGTGGAAAATCGCTGAGATAGGCATACTGGACCCAAATGCTTGCACGCAAGGTTACAACAAAAATAAATAAATAATTTTTTGTATAATAAAAATGGTTACTAGAAAATTTGACATTTTCTATAGGTCGTACATTATTTTCATATATAATTGCCAGACCAGTGTGAAACCAAAATATGCCATATAAGAAGTCCATTCAATATCCAAAATGGTTTTGAAAATCATTTTGTTTTTAAAAGTAAAAATATTTCTCCAACTTCACGAGAGAGGAATAAGATCTACATACACATCAGACTCTTCATACTACATTTACAAGACTGTATTGAAAATGTTATTATTGTCGGATAATCCTAAATATTAGTTATTTCAGTAAATTGTTTATTTCAAAATACTTGACGTTTTAGAGAAATAAAGAAACCACTTCTTGTTACTTTTTTTCTATAAAAACATAATTTTGTTCCCTCAAATATTGGTATATGCTCGTTTAATTCTATGGAATATCGCCACCTCAACCAATTTCACAGGGTATCTGTCACTTCCGACCAACAACGAGCAACAAGTAACTCTTCGATCATTTCATCATCAAGGACAAGGTGTTTCCCATAGGAAACCCAATTTGGAATAGAAAGGATTAAAGAAAAAGGAATTGTTTTTTTTTTAAAAAAAAAAACAGCTTAGAATTAAAGCATTTAAATTTGGTCATGCAGTGGTATGGAGTGTGGACAATCTAAGTGGGAAAGCATAAGAAATTTAAGATTCTGATGTTACAATCAATGTTTTTTCCCTATATATTCCCCTATTTTCACTAATTTAATTAGGTGTTGTATTAACACTAGATTCTTATGCATTATCCATGCCATTTTCCCAATATTCCTAGGCTTCTTCCTAATTATTATAAATTAATTAATTCATTGCTCCACCTTGTTATTCATGCCGTTTTAATACGAGTAACCATATGAGGTAAAAAAATCCAAATCATGATTAAGTGTTCTTGTGGAGAACTTAAAAGGAAAAAAAATAGAAAAAAGAATAGAGTCGGACCAGATGCTCCAATGACTAACACTTCATATCAAGTGTTTATATCATATTAATTTTAATTATTGTAATTTGATGCGAGTAAATTTTACCTATAGTTTGTTAAAATAACAAGGGAAGGAGCAATAATAATAAATATTAAATATAGATATGCCTAGGCATTGGGATTGTAAGTTTGAGCATTTGTCCCAAGTCCCAAGAAAACTACTCACTTTGTGGTCCAACAAAGTCACTAAACCGTAAAATATTAGGGTTTTCGTACAAATGCAAAACTAGAATAGAAACACAAGTACACAACAAAACTCCAAACAAGTTAGTATCGTAGTACTTAGAGTAACTACCTTTCATATTCTCTCCGTCCTATTTTATGAGATATTTTTTGAATTTTGAAATTTAAATAAGTCTATTTTTATCGTGAATTTCTCATATATCTTTTAAATATTTGAATTGTCAATTATTGTGTCTTATAGTACTTTTTACGTAGTTTATAAATATATAAATTTCATTTAAAAAAATTGAAAATTCCATGCGCAAATTCCCGGTAAAATTTAAATTATTTGACTTTCAGAAAACGAAAAATGTTACATAAATTGGGACAGAGAGATTATTAGTTATTCACGTTATTATCAATAATTATTTCAAATTTTTAAGAGGTAAATTAATAAAAATATTCTTATTATTTATGATTTATTAAAAGTGTGTGCAGAAAAAAGTGAACAACTAATATGAAAAGAAGGGAGTAATAATTTAAAATGAAGTTCATGCTTCAAATTTCTGATCTTTTTTATTAACCAACCTACTATATTTTTAATGAGTAATTAAGTAGCTAATTGCAGTACTTAAATATTTGATATTCCTAATTAGAACTATAGTATGTGTCTAGTCGTTGTTAATATAATATTCCATCTGTCCCAATTTATGTCATACCATTTGAATTAAAACAAAGTTAAAGAAATTTTAAAAAAATCTTCTTTTATGTTTGTGATCCAAAACACTCTTTAACCATTTGTGTAGTTACAAATCATCTCATTAGGAGTAAAACGTTAATTTTAAAGTTAAATTATTTCCAATTATTGAAATATGACATACCTTTTAAAACTAACTAAAAAAAATGTACCACATAAATTAGAACAAAGAAAGTATCCTTAAAAAAAATAAAAAATCATATACCATACATACAAAGACAAAGCGTAAATTAGGTTCGTAAAAATAACTTGTTAAATATGTCACAATTATTTACACTATCAATTTGTTAAAGAAATCACCACAAAATTTATTCTATAGCATTTCATTATATTCTTTTAAATAAATTAATAATCCAAAAATCTCAAACAATGAATGATGCAACAAATCACCCCACCCCCACCCCTCCCCCCCCCCAGAAAAAAATCCGTCGATAAATAGCGACCTGTGGAGTCTTCATAAGCATCAGATTATTTTGTGCTAAAAACATATTACAAACAATTTCTTGTTTTACAATTCCAAGAAAAGAAAAAAAATATCAATTTGCTCATAGTGTCGACATGGTGTGCCCAAATAGCAATCCATTAGTAGAAAAAGTATGTGAATTATATGAGCAAATTTCAAGATTGGAGAACCTTAGCCCTTCCAAAGATGTCAACATATTGTTCACAGATCTTGTCCACACGTGCATGCCTCCTAATCCCATTGATGTCTCTAAGCTCTGTCAAAAAATTCAACAAATTAGGTCTCATCTCATCAAACTATGTGGTCAAGCTGAAGGACTTTTAGAGTCACACTTTTCTAAAATTCTTGCCTCATATGAAAACCCCCTTCAACATCTTCACATTTTTCCATATTTTGACAATTACATCAAACTCAGTTTACTTGAGTACAACATCTTTACTAAAAACACAACAAATATCCCCAAAAAAATTGCTTTTATTGGATCAGGTCCACTTCCACTTACCTCACTTGTTTTAGCTACTAAACATCTTACTACTACTTATTTTCACAACTATGACATTGATGTTGATGCTAATTCCATGGCGGCCGCCCTTGTGGCGGCCGATCCTGACTTGTCAAGCCGTATGACTTTTCATACGGCCGACATCATGGATGTAACGTGTGCCTTGAAAGACTACGATGTAGTCTTTCTGGCCGCGTTGGTTGGTATGGATAAAGAGGACAAAGTTAAGGTTGTTGATCATCTTGCTAAATACATGTCTCCAGGGGCTACCCTGATGCTTAGAAGTGCACATGGTGCGCGCGCTTTTCTCTACCCTGTCCTCGATCCTCGTGATCTACGAGGATTTGAGGTACTTTCGGTGTACCATCCTACAGATGAGGTGATTAATTCTGTGATAATTGCGCGAAAATTGCCAGTTCCTTGTGTTCAACCACTTGATGGATTGGGTGCCTATGTGTTACCTAGCAAATGTGCTTGTGCTGAGATTCATGCTTTCAATCCACTCAATAAGATGAATTTGGTTGAGGAATTTGCACTTGAGGAGTGAGATTTATGTGTTGAAGAATTTATAATTTGTCTTGTGCTATGTTTTCATTATATTATGTTCCTCATAAATGTGGAGTACTTCCATTTTGATTTTTCATTATTAGTAGTAATACTTTGTTGTTGTATCCCTAACTGTTTGATCAGTGTGTCCCATTTGTGTGTCTCAAACTACAAAAAAAAAAAAAAAAGGCATGACACTATGAGGCCTTTTGTTAATCTTACAAATTTTATCTATATGAATATCAACCATATTGAAATGTTTTGTGCATTTGTTGATTTCCTTCAATTTCCAATTTTGTTTTATTCAATATTTCATTTTTCTTGTTTATCTTTATATTATTATTATTTTTATATTACATTGGAGGATTTGAAAAGGTGGAGGAATCGAGGAGGAAGATAAGGGATTGAATCATGCGTCCTGCTCTATGGGAGATTCAAATCAACTTTGACGGTAAAGTTTCTTTAGTTAGTATTTATTTGCTTCTGGTATTGTTTCAATCGTATTCTTAGTATATCTTGTTACACTTTTCAACTGATGTTATAATTTTAAAAAAAAATTGGTTCTAACGACTAAAGAAAAGGAATTGAAACCTTGCACGATTTTGATTTTGATTTTGAAGATGATGTGAAAGGGGAAATTTATAGAAAAAGGACAATATACATTACTTTCCACTTACGGTCATGTACACAAAGTTTACAAAAAACTTCCAACTGCAACTTCATCAGTGATATCATCTTTTATCTTTTTCTTATTGCTTCAATTTTTATTTTTAAAAAAAATCGCTTCAATTTTTGCATATTTTCAGATATATCCTCATGGCTCAAATCACTATAAGAAAACATGAAATTTAGCTAGAAAATTATCGGTTATTCCTAGCTAAAAAGCTTCTAGCTAATTGGATTTACTTATAATCCATCACTAAATGCGATTAACATGAAATTTTTGCTATTTAGCTTCAAAAAAAATTTGTCACTAATTTTTCGTTTTATAGTAGTGAAAGAAGTTGTCTTCCTCCTCCTTGTCGATCCTTTTCTTATCTATCTTACGTGAAAGATAAAATATCCCACATTAATTCGGAAGATAATTTTTTTTCTCCTTATATTGAATTGTCTTCTGTTGAGGGTTCTAGGAGTAGCCCCGCACACATGATGAAATGAGCTTGCAAGCCAAAATGAGTTAATTCCCCCTTCCTCCCCTGAACTGAAATCATTTTCAACGCATTGACTTGTCATAACACAGAATTCATTTGTGATGAGCTTTTTTACTATTGATTTTCCTTTCAATAACAATATTGTACTATCTTTTCTAAAATGTACAAAAGAATCTGATCACTTAAGTTGAGTGGAAGAGAAAGGTGAAGGGGCCATTTGAAGATAAAACCAAAATAATTTATTTAAAGAAAGATAGTCAATAATAAGAAGACTACAATATATCTTTCAACTATACAACTTCAGTCAATTCAAACAGTGTATCTACAATCTGTTGATTTTTAATTTGTCTTGAGGTGATGATAAATTGATGTAATTTTGTCTATATATATATGCCTTCACATCTATAAAAAGCTAGTGTACTTAAATGGTCCATATTTTCAGCCAACAAATGTCTTATCGTTTATCAATCAAACATCAGCATATCCAAAAATATTTTAATGTCATTTAGCTTTCTGCATACATCTTTTCAATCCATCTTCGCTTTGTATGCATAGAATATGTTCACAGGAACATACTTATTTTAATAATTTCTTTTTAAAAGTGTTATGTATTTTTGTGTGAAAAATAATCAATGAAATTGTGTTGATTTTCTTTCTTTAAAATCACCGACAATCTAACAAAGTTAGTCAAATTTTAACATTGTTTAGTAGTGTTATTAGCAATGAACAAGAGTCTTTTTTTAGTAGTATTATTAACAAAGTCAGTCGAGTCTTTTTGAAGATGGGTTTTTTTATTCGTATTGATTTATATTAAAAATTAAAAGTGAGTATTTGCGTTAAATTTAGATAGCCTAGATGATAAGAAAAAATAAATAAGTAGTGTTATTTAATTTAATTGAATGTTTAAGAAAGAAAATCAAAGAACTTTCATCAATTTATTTTCATGCAAAAATACAGAGAAATATAAAAAAAAAAAAAAATTATTGTTTGAAAAATTTTATGTTCGTTCGTGAATGTTTAATTTTTTTAATTAATAGGCACACGTCTATTTTTTAAAAATAAGAAGTTGCAATTGAAGAACATAAATAAAAACAAATCATAAAAATTAGAACAAGTATTTAAATGGTACATAAAAATGGAGTTTAAGCTAAGTTGGAGTGAGTTTGAGGGGCTATATATGTGTTTGGCCTATTTTTTTTTAGACACTAGAATCATGGACATGAATATTATAATAGAAAATATAAATTCATGCCCATCTAAAAAGATATTTATGAAGAAGAAAAATAAAATAAATCACATTCGGATCTAAGGTAGGTTTACTTGGTAAAATGAGATCTATCCGCGATTATATACACAAAAAGAACATTTAATATGAAGCTGGACTCCAATTAACAGTTCCTGTAAGCTCACGAGGTAAATTCATTACGTTGAGTGATCATTTGAAAAATTAACATGGTATTTATGTGATCAGAGACTCGGAGTAGAGAAAAATTGAATAACTATTACTTTCTTCTGGGATTTTTCCATTGATATGTCTTGCACTTCAGGGCAGGTAAAATTTGCCTGGCCAGAAGCCCAGAAGTAGAACTGAGCAAAAGCACAGTAGCCACTCTATTACAACTTTCCACATCTGTTTTAAGGCAAACAGAGAATATTATGAGCAGAAAATAATGACGCACCTGAATAATCCCCCAATCCCCACCCCTAGCCAACAACCAAGAGACAATTAAATCCATCCCCACCCCCACCTTCATCCCAGACCTCGCTGACAAACAAAAGATGACAGCTTTACAACACTCCACACAATCTACATCGATCATGTTGGATGGTCTATCAATGCATATAAGCTTATAACAAAAGGTGCAAGGTAGGGAAAAAGGGGGGGTCCCTTTAGTAAAAGAACCCCACTGCACAAGACAGCAAGAAATGAACACAAGTTCTACTCATGATTTTAGTTGAGCATAGTGAACGAGACAGAGAACAAGTTCTGTTCATGATTTTAGTATAGAATATCTCAATAATTAAAAAGCGAAATACAATCTATGCCCTAATGCATGAATGTTACAATAAGGAGACAATTGGATAATTCTGAAACTGATACCAGAATGTGCTTCTCTGCCATTCATATAACTTCACAAGAGCTACAGATGACATTTGAATGCAAAGAGCAAAACAGAAAGTCAGTACAGTGCTTCAAACAACCTGAAAGCTGGCTGAACTATGAGCACAAACAAGAACCAGACTACAATACGGCTTCACCGGGTCTCCCAATCCTTCAATTTTTTACCCTTAGGCTTAGCAATAGGAGCATTAACAGCAGCCATTTTTGTATTATACTTGGCCCGAAGAGAGTCATTGTATGTCCACCTGCTCCAACGGCAATTGTCAGTCAGTAAGTGCAAAGGCTGTTAGCAGAATATTACATAGATAAAGCTGGACACTGAACCACAAAGCACAAACTATACACCATAAACTAGAATACAGAAGGATATATTTAAATTTTGAAGCAGTCTGCATTTTTTCCCTTTCTAGTTTGTCCCCACAAAGAGATTCAACTAAAAATGTACACATGCATCGCCTACTGGTGGAAGTCAAATAGAGTACTCCTTCTGTCAGGAAGCAAGTATAACATTCGAATGGCTAAGACAAAAGTGTAGGGAGCGATCTCATCACAGCAGCAGTCTTAGTATTACACAAATACTAGCAGGCAAAGTATTCAATGAAAACCAGGTACTTGGCCAGATATTACTATACTTCCTCTGGGTACAAGCTAAGCCCCACAAACCAGTCCATCAAATGAAGGGACCAGGTTGCTAGATATTTTCTTTCTTTAATCCCAGATGCTCTAAGCTACTCAGATAGGTTATAGGCTCTAAAAGAAATACTCAACTCCGAGTGCTGAAGTGCCCTGAAGTGTTAATTTTTCTTCTGGGATTTTTCCATTGATATGTCTATCAGATAGGTTGCTAGATAACTATCTTGCTAGATATTTTTTTCCATTGAAGAATGCTGAAGAATACAACAGTACTAATTCTCAAAAAAAAAAAAAAAAACTCAACTGAAGAGCATTTTTATTTATTTTTTAACAAGGTAGATAATTTTATTGAGTGAAAAAGGGCTTATATATTTTGGAGAATTCCCTTTCCACAATTGAAATTACTGAACTGGAAGCAAAACATTCTGTCGCACTAATGTAATAAACTTCTATGTTTCTCTAAAGTGATCCTAATAAGTACATCTGCCACTATGTATGAATCTTTTTAAAGTAATTCACTTTAATACACGACTAGTCAATAATTATGCAGGGAATTTGATAGTAACACTGAGAAAGCACCTATAATTAATGCACTCACTCCCACACCTCCAAAACCAAAAGTCGTTTCAAGGCCCCAAACTCTGAACTCCCAGTTATAATCTTCCTATGCTATACAAGGCTTTTCAATTCTTTTCCTATCCAGCGGGCCAGGTACATTTGCCATGACAAAAATTCGCCAACCATCAAAACAGAATGCAAGTGTGTTTTTACAGGAACAGAGAAAAATGGAAGCTCCTGTGGTAGCAGCACCATCACTCAAAAATATGCAATCAAAATTTTCAGATCCCCAACACTTGTTGATCGTCTCATTTTCTGGAAACTTTGATGGTTTAAATGCTACAAGTACCACTCAGGCAAGAAGATCTCAACAGGCAATCAAATTCTTCATATATACATCCCCAGAAATCCACCAAGCAAACGAAATTTTTCTACTACCACACCAAATCCTGCCCTAGGTACTGATACACATACACATCAGATAAACCTTTCTACACCCTGAGATGCACATCATTCTCTCTTAAGACCTTTGGCCAGGGAAATAATTATTATTTAAAAATTCCAAGCAAAAGAACCATAGAAAGAGTAGGTAACTAATCAAGCTTGCAGGAATCCATCAGCATATAGACAAGACCCATGAGCTCATCTCAACCCCCTTCCTCTTATCGTCACCCAATAAAAAGGAAGGAAAAGAAACAGAGAGACAGAGAGTGGAAGAGAGAGACACAGACAGAGAGCAACTGTCAATGTGATGAGATGTATTGTTCAGGATACAAATCACCCACTTTATAGAAGGCCAAATAAGACTCTAGAACAAAGTTCGCACATTTAGAACCATTATTCTCCTAATAGTTCTGATGCTACTGTGAAACATCTGAAGTATGATCAAATATTCAATGAAATGTAACTTTAATTTTATCCTTTGCTTTCTGTACAGTAAATCCAATTTGGAAGACCAAGATTGAGAGATATCACCAGTTTCAAGAAAATCAATATGCTAAAGAGTAAAAACTGTGACATCCCTTCAACCAAAGTGAAAGAGCAGGTAAGATAATCAGAGTCAGAGAATAGGTAATATTCACCACTGTGTTGATATACCAATAAACCAGATGCTAATGTGAAATAAACAACCAGGTGTAACTGAAGGATGCATTATTAAGAATTGCTAATCCAGCATATCTACGTGACAAATTGAATGAACAGAAATGAGCATATAACATAGAAGGTTTAAGGTACTTACGGGTTGTTCCAATCAGTTGTGTCCTCATTGACAAGATGTGTCCATTTTGTCCTTCCACTGCGACCAAAGTGTTTGACCTGCATGACTTTTGGTAGTATGGATTTATCCAACTTATCCTCCCCTGTTGGTGCAGAGAAATCACGGTGGAATATATTATCAGCGCCAGAAGTTCCAGCTATGTCATCAGTATCTGACTGGAAGAAAGCACCCTTGTGGTAATATTTCTGCATAAACTTCCACTTCTGCTTGGGTGGTGGGGCAGGTTTTGGGTTTCTCCTTTCCCACTCCTTCCTCTCTTCTTCCGTCATATTTCTTACTCTCTCTATTTCTTCCCTCTCCTTCTTACTAGCCTCCCTGTCCTCCCTCTCCCTCTTGATCCTGGCAATTTCTCTGGACTTCCAAGCTTCATATTCTTCAGCCTCATTCACCTCATCATCAGTATCTACATCAGCAATATTAGCTTCCAGCTCCAAATTTTTCTGAATTATTTCTTCCTCTCGTATCTTCTCAACTACTATTTGTTTTGTTTCAAGTTTTCTCTCCTCTAACCTCTTCTTCACTAACTCCTCGAGAGCTCGTTCCTCTGCCTCGCGCTTTTCACGCTCATCTATGGTGTCTCTCTCAGATTTTGGAACAAAAACTGGTTTCACCATTGCTATCCCTGTGGTCTCTTCCTCTGATTCAGTTTCATATTCTGATTCCTCTTCCTCCTCTTCTTCTACCTCCTCTTCTTCTTCCTCCGGCAGAGCTTCTTCCTGTTGCCTCTGAAGATTTTTTTCCCTGATTCTCCTCCTCCTTTCATCCAAGGCATCTTCGTCATCCTCCTCAAATTCCATTCTTTCTAGTCTTCTATTTTCCTCTTCAATAGTTGAAACAATCTCTGCTTGCCGGATGCGTCGATGATCTGCTCTGATTTCCTCACGATTATCAACTTTACTCTCTGCCAGTCGACGCAGCCTTGCATCATCTTTTCTTGCAATGTCTGAACCACCCTGGCTGGGAAAGGCTTTCTCAAGTGCTGCTTCCCTGTTCATCCGCATATCCTCATCTTTTTCTGGTTCATCTGCCCATTCAGGAGCTTTACCAGGCCAATATCTTTTCACTTTTGTTTGGCCAATTTTACCCCTGAGCTTTTCCCTAATTGCAATAATTGCATCACTTACACCAGCTGTTACAGACATTTTTATAAGAGAAAGAACCCCCTTGAAGAAAATGGTATGTAAACGAAACAGTGGACGCTTTATATGCTTCAAGCCTCTGAACCCAGTGATATGATCTCCCTATTACAAAAGAAAAAGATGAGAATAAATTAGACGAGATTATATGTGTGTGTATAATATGTTTCTTCGGGCACTGCCACACACAAAATTTCAAGAACAAATGGCATCACAACCAAATCAAATCTACCTAACTGATCAAGTAGAGTACTTGGCAGAAGTAAAGTGGGATTTGTAACTTGTACCAAGTTATAGAGGAGATATCAATGAGACAATGACTATCAAAAATAAAAGATAAATAACCTATAAAAAAAAAATTGTTATTCCAGTATCTTCTCTAGAGCCGCAACAAATTCAACCTACACAGCAGCAACATCTGTCATTCAACTGTCTTCTTTCAGGCAAAGGTTGATAACAGAGGATGAAGGAAAGGAAATCTCAATTTTATACCAGAACAGAACTCTCAAAAATATGACAATGGAGCTCAGCTCATATAAACAGACTATAGGCAGCATCTAGGCCTTCTTATTGATTAACAGGTGACTAAGAGGGTAGGGTGCCTCTCATGGAAGAGGTAGTAACAGCCCAGGGGTTCATCTGAATCCCTTCCGATGAAAATTACACTGCTTATACATGGTTAAACTTATTTTTTATGTATATATAGCAGATGTTGAACCCCCTTCGACTTATTCATGTGTTTACTTATTCATAGTTTGCACCCCTTAATGAAAATCTTGTCTCCGCCACTACTCTTGTGATATGTATGCCTCAAAATCTCCAAAACAGAAAATTAGAATTGCAAAGAGTACAAAAATCTCAAGTTAAATAGATTTTCATATGGAAAATAGTTTAGGGTTAAATTAACGTCCGCTTGCAAATCATGAAAATGAAGACCTTCCTGAGCTGCGAAGATGGTAAAAAAATTTGCAAACCTTAGTTCTCGCTCTCTTGAATATAAACCCTACTCCTTCCACAAAGGAACCCTAATACCGACTATGAGAAAAGTACAAATCTATCACCAATTCAAAACAGTCTTAAATTACAATAAACGAAATTCGTACAAAAGAATAGCCTACAAAATCTATTTGTTTATGAACATATCACGACTTCTTTGAAATCAAACACTATGCGCTTCAGCGAATTCAAGCTTGTATAAAATTGCACACAATATTAATCATTAAGCGAATGAAAACTTACCTTAGAGTCGACGGAGATGACGAACTCGCCGGAGATTGGCGTTCGGAATAGACTCGCTCGATAATGGCGGTCGGGGTACACTCCGAATCGAAGTGATGTTGAAGAAAGATTTTACGCTCTATTCTATACGCAGGTAAATTCTAATTACCAACTTAACCTCGAAAACAAAATCAAAATTCTAATTTGCCCCTTTTAGGCATCTCCAACCTTAGAGTTTTCTCACCAACGACTCCAACTCAATTCTCAATTTATTTTTTTCAAATTCTTTATATAATATAGATTTATATTTTATTCTTAATTTCTAAAACACAATTACGAATAATTAAAAAAAACAATCAACAAGCATAATCATAACTTCTCTAGATCATACATTAATTTTTCGAATATTGTTAAATTTGGAAAGGACCTTCCAGATTATTAAATTATTATTGTAATTTTTAAAATAATTATGCTATATATTGTATTTTTAAATTTAAATTTTCATTTTATCATTTAAATTTTGTGCATTCATCATAGTGAAAATCAATAATAATATCAAATTTGATTCACTTGAAGTGACGAAAATTGAAAATAAAATATTTGAAATATTATTAATTCAGGATGAAAGTAGTATATATTAAATAATATATTTTTTTAAATGTATATTATATTTAAAAAAGAATTATGAATATTAGAAAATTTTAATTAATATCCTTATATGAAAAATAATATGTTAATTACAAAATAATAAAAATAATAATATAATATTCAAAAAGTGAAATAAATAGTATGAATAATAGTTCTCCAAATTTAATTTGGAGAATTACTATTCAACTTTCTATAATTGGAGAGTAGAGGGTAAAATAGAGAGTGCTTGGAGAAGGTATTCTCTATTTTACTCCCAGAATATAGAGAATGAAGAATAAAATAGAGTAGGGTTGGAGATGGTTTAACATTTCGAGCAGGGGAAAAAGATCTTTACCCTTTTAATTTACTGAAAATAAGATAATACTTCCTACTCACTTTTACTTGTCATTTATTTCTAAAATTTTCTTGTTATTTTCATATATATTGCTTGCCATGCATGTTTTACCTTTTATATTAAATACTATTATGTATATCATTTTTCAAGATCCAAAAAGTATATACTTTTCGTCCGACAATTGCTTTTCACTATACTATTTTGAGATGTCCAACAATATTTGTCCACTTTATGAAATTAACGAATAATTTTGTGCTTAGTTCCTACCATTATCATTAAATAAAGTCATTTCTCTATTAGGTTTTTTCAAGACATTATATTTATTATATTCGAAGGGTGATATACTAAATTATCCTTCTATTTATAGCTTCTTAAGAAGTGTGCAAAATTAATAGTGGACAAGTATTATTGTACATAAAAAATATATTATTAATTGTTTTCTTAAAAAGTGTGTCAAATTAAACAGTAACAAGTAAAAATGAAAAAAAATAATAATTGTGAATTCGACTTTAAAAGTATCTTTTACTATACTCAAGTGGCCTATTTATATCTTTAGAAAACTATATCACCTTCACACGTAATGTAAAATAGAGCAAACGGGCAATTTGACCCTTAACTAGGTGAAATCTAACATTTTTCTCTCAATGAATAATAGTTGGTTACTTTAAAGCAAACTAACACAAATTCCACTAATTTAAAGGCCTATTATGTATCTTCACTTTAATTGTTAAAGTTACCTTTTGTACCACATTTAATTTTCTAGCTAGATACATGTATTTCGAATACATGTGAGTCAAATTAGGAGTAATTAATTTCACATACATTATATACAAGTGTGATTTATATATATATATATATATGTGGAATATATTGACTTTCTCGATCGCCTCTATCCCATTTCGCTCGCATTTCTCCTTCTCTTGCTCACCTCTCTTCTTCCCTCGTTCGCCCATCTCCCATCTTACTCATCTCTATCCTCTTCTCGTTCATCTCTCCCCATATATATATATATATATATTTCATAATGTATCCGGTATTTAAGATACATGTATCAGTATAAAATGATGCATGCATGCTGATTCTCTCGTTCGCCTCTCCCTATTTATCTAATATCAAAGATATATGTATCTGACTTGAAATCTGTTACAAAATTATTAATTAGTGAAACAATATGTAATTATTTCAAACTATAGAATGGATTAATATTTATGGTAGAAAAAATTGTGTAATTAGATAGTTTTTCCTTACTTTTAACTTATGCCATTCGTTGTAACTAGGGGTGTACATGATCGGGTTGGTTCGGGTTTTTCAAATATCAAACCAAACCATTTGTGTAAAAATTTTAAATTTATAAACCAAACCAAACTAATAAATTTGGATTTTTTCGGGTTTTTCAAATACCAAACCAAACCATTGTGTCGAATTTTTAAATTTATAAATCAAACCAAACTAATAAACCTCGGATTTTTTCGGTAAAGTTTGCATACAAACATATAATTAACTTGTGCTCCAAATATTTATTTAGTCCAACCAAAATACAATTATCTAAGGTGTTTCATAAAAAAATAACACAAAATATGATATTAGTTCTGATGACACAAAAATACTCAATAAAAAATAATAATGAAATCATCATGTAAAATAAATATTGCAAAGTCATAATGAAAAAGATCATAATTTAAAAGTACTAAATCATGCTAAAATAAGTTTAATAAGTATTAGTTACATTACTAAATATTTAAGGAAAATTAAAATTCGATTATGTATTTTAATTGTCTAAACCAATGTAAAACTAAAGAACAAATATTCAATATTATTGTCATTCTTAGTGTTGAATTGATTTTCTTTTTGCATTAGTATTAATTTGATTTTGATTTAAGTTTTATTATAATTATCAACATCTATGAACTATAATCTCTATTGGACCATTCCGAATTCTAAGTTTTAAACTTGAAATAATATATTAAAAGATAAAAACTATGAAATAGTATAAAAAATATTTTAAAATTATATCAAAGTAAATATTTTTATGTATAAAATAAAATTTTAATATTACATATATAATGTCGGGTTGGTTTGGTCTCGGGTTGGTTTTTTTTAGTTAAAACCAAACCAACCCAAATATAGTCGGGTTTTTTTTTTCAATACCAAACCAAGTCAAACCAAACCACTAGTTGGGTTTTTTTTTCGGGTTGACTCGATTTGCGGTTTGGTTCGGTTTTCGGTTCAATTTTGTACCCCCTAGTTGTAACCAAAATGGCTGAATATTGTCATTATTCACTAACAGATAAAGTTCAAAAATGCTTATGACAGACACGTATTTACAATAAAATAATTTAATTTTGTGTTTGTAGTGTTATACTTGAGAGTTGAAAATGCAGAAATTTGCGAATAAAGGGGGTGGAATATAAGAATAGCATAGTATAATTGTTTGTCGAAAAAATTGTGTGAACACAAATAAAAGTTTAAAAATTATAGAAATAAGATCAAAAGGAGCATGATCATGTTTTTTTTCATTTTAGGCTAGAATCCACCAATCCAAACAATAAAAAGTAACAATAATGAAATGAATACTAGGATGAGAAGTAGGTTCCTTATTTTTGGTGAAGTAAAATTTATTCAATAATATCAAGATCTAAAAAAATGAAAAAGTACAGAAATTTTGTATTTTGAACATAGATGGTTTAACAATTGTCGATTTATAAACTTCAAAATACATACTTTCTATCATAATACTATACACTACGTGTTAGCTAGCAGGAGGTTCCTTTTGTTTTGTGTTGTCATTTTCAAGTGCCTCCAGATCCATCAAAATACATCGATCCAGCACCAACACCTTCCATTAGAGCAAATTTCATGTCTTCCGATGGCCGCCAGTGTCGCTTCCTTTGGTTTATGAACCAGTTGTTTATCTGCTTCTGGTCTA